AACGATATGTACAATATATAGAATGATTATCTTAAAAATAAAATTATTGGAATAGTTAAATTAATTAGTAATAGAATTGAAATTAGGCTTTCTAAAAATTAAAAAAAAATTATTAATTATTTGTATAGCTAAAATAAATTAAATACAGTAGCATACTGTATCATTGCGGAATAATGCCTTAGGGCATTATTTCTGTGATAACATAATAAGTAATTTATTAAAATATTAATTTTGTTAAAACTTAATAATTTCACCCAGGGATCCTTCTAGTTGTTCAAAATAATAAAGAGCCTACTAATGATAATGACAATGAGTTAATGGAAGAGATGAAAGTGGATATTGAAGCACTTAATTTTCGAAATACGATGGATCTTGAAGTCTATATTAATTACTCAGAGGAGGAAGACACAAATGAAATCTTGAATGAACAGGAAATTTTAACTTTGGTCACTAACATAGAACCCAAGAATGATTCAAATGACAACAATAGTGAAGACGAAGACAACAGTAGAGAAATCCCTCTTATTACCTACTACGAGGCGCTAAATGCCATAAAGGTGCTAGAACATTACCTTATGCAACAGGATCTAAGTGATAAAGACCAGTTGGACCATGACCAAGCTTTATTAAAGTTACAAAAAACAATCAGAAAAAGTCAAAGTGTGTCTTTTAAACAAGTAAATCTTGAAGCTTTTTTTTAATTAATCAACTGAGTAACTCAGGTTAGAGATCATTAAATATAAAATAAACAATGTATAAATTGAAAAATAAAGTAATAAAGAGTTATTAAAAAAAAAAAAAAAAACTTGTCAAACAATATTGATATTGTAAAGTTATATAAAATATGAAAATAGCTTATACTGTAGTAATAATCATAATCACATGACGGCTAATTTACTGCGATATTATTGGCTGTTCCCTAATTGCAGCCCCCCCAAATACACATATTGGAGCCAGTCCCGACGATGTGCATTTAGGGGGTCTGACTGTACTACAAAGCTTTATTTTAAAAAGTTTTTAAAAGTTACAAAGACAATTAAATTACCTCTAGCTAGATTTAAACTATTAATCTTGTCTATAAAAAGTTGAAAGCTTAATCACTAAGCTATAGAACCCAACTTATATATATTTTTTGCTTTAAATTTTAAAATTAATAACCTATCAAATCTGATAAAAATAATTTAGCAAGTTTATTTTTGTTATATATATTTAAAAAAATTATTAATTTATATTTTAAGTGATTTTAACATACAACTTTTTTCAACAATTACTTGTACCAAATTTTTCTACCAAACAAAACAAAAATTTTGTTGGAAAAGGAGAAGGTACTATGCAACAGTTTTTGTAAAAGTCAATTATCTATGTCAGAGACTCTTTTATATATTTAACATGCAAACCAAAAGTATTAGTATTAAGATAATAGGCTGATAGATACCCTTGTATACAAAATTTTAGAGATTTTAGTGCTCTAATAAAAATAAGGCTATATCATCAACAAAATCAAGTATAAACAACATAATAGAAGAAGAATAACAAATAAGTTTTTTAATATACTCTTTTAGAAATTTTGAAGTACCTGACTATGAAAACTACTCTCTATATTCCTACCAGGTTTTTTGATATTTTTCTCTCAAAATGTAAAAAACTTAGCATATCTCCTATAAAAGATTTATATAGCCAAATCAGGAATAGCAAGTTATAAGAAAGTCAAATCACTATATATCTAACCAATAGTAAATGATACATAATGTATCTGTAGAGTAAACAAGAAAAATTTTTTATTTTCTAATTCTTATTTATACTTTTATATTATTTCTTCTCACTTATTGCCCAAATTTGGGCTGATTTGAGAATTTTATAATTCTTTTTGAATATATATTTTTTTTTTATTTTTTTTTTTAATAATATATGAAATTTTTAAACTATTTTAAACTATTAGAGTTACAAAGAGTAAAAAGTTGCTGGCTAAAAAAAAAAAAAGCAAAAGAGGTTTTGAAATCTGTAGCAAGCTAAACTTTATAAAATGTGTAATTTTACTTTGAAAAAATAATATAGAAGTATAATAAAATATAAGAATAAATCAGTTATTATCTACAAAATAGTCATAACTAAATATCAATCCCAAATCAAATAATCAGACAATGATTAAATAACATACTGGCTACTTTGCAGCCAGTATATTATTTGATTA